AGAAAGAAAGAAAGAAAGAAAGAAAGAAAGAAAGAAAGAAAGAAAGAGAGAGAAAAAGTAAATTTAACCGTCTTCCAAATACGAGTTCATTTTGTATTCAAGCACCTTGAGGACAGGTTTTTCATAAGTGTATAAATGCCTGGCTGTATTTGTGTTTTGTTTTTTCCTTTTCTTTAATAAGGCTTTGCACTTTAGTCCAAATTGGCCTCGAACCTGTGGTTGTCTTACTCAGCCTCCTGAGCCCTGAGATTGTGGGCATGTACCATCGTGCCCTGCTGTATTGGCTAAGACTGAGTAGTGTGTGGTCTCAGGTAGCGGTTATTATTGTCCAGAGCCGGGGAATGGGGCCAGAAATCAACGCCTGTGGTGGCTGTGTATGACAGGGTCCTCGCTAGTATGGAGACATACCTAAGATGTAAATAGTTTCTGTGCGTGACTTTAAAACACTCCACACAAAAATGCCACTAAATGTCACTCAAAAGTCTGAAGCAGGCCTGCCTACACGCTGTTCTCAAGGTCTTAAAACTTCCTAAAAAAAAAAAAAAAAAAAAAAAAAAAGGCAATTACGTAACACTGATTAGGTTTTGAAATATTTCCTCCTGTTTTTTTTTTTTTTTCTTTCTCCTTTGTGTTTGTGTATGTGAGTGTGTGTACGTGTGCGTGCTTGTAGAGGCCAGAGGTTGAGGTTGGGGGTATCTTCCTCAACTGCATTCACTGTTTGTTGTTGTTTGTTTGTTTTTGCTTTTTAGAGACAGGGTCTCATTATGTGGCGCTCTCTGAGGCTAACCTGGAACTGGCCTCAAACTCATGACACCCTTTGCTTCTGCCTCCCAACTGCTGGGATTAAAAGTGTGTACCACCACTTCAAGCTCCCAACACATCTTAATTTTCATATATTTATTTATTTATTTATTTATTTATTTATTTATTTATTTTTAGATCAGATCTCTTACTGAACTCGGAACTTACCATTTGAGCTTTACTAGCAGGCCAACAAGTCCAAGGGGGCCGACTTGTCCCCCGTTCCCCAGCACTCAGATCACCGAAGCCTGCCACTGTGCCATGTTTTCTACTTGGAGGCTGAGGATTAAACTCAGGTCTTCAAACTTTTGGGGCAAGGTCTTTATCCACTGAGCTATATCCAAGCCCTGTTTCTTCTCTCCAATTGTACCTGTTGAGGAAAACCAAAAGCAAGTTAAATTATAGTCTAGCATGAGTGTGAAAGTGAGTGTAAAACTCTCTTCAAACAATTATTAAATTCTTGAACATTCATACAGAGTTATAAGGAAATCTCAGACTCTTGGACTGAGGGTCCACAGGTCAGTGGCAGAACACTTACCTAACATCCAAAGGCTCTAGGTTCAATTCCCAGACCCAAAAAGAGAGAAAAGTTCAGGCTTTTATATTAACACATATATTGGTTTTTTTTCAAGACAGGGTTTGTTTGTGTAGCCTTAGTTGTCCTAGACTCACTTTGTAGACCAGGATGGCTTCAAACTCTCAGCGATCGGCCTGCCTCTGCCTCCCAGAGTGCTGGGATTACAGGGGTGTGCCACAGAACCCAGCTTATATTAATATTTTAACATAATATTTGTAACAGACATTGTCCCATTAGTACACTCATTTTTTTGTTTCTTTTCTAAATATTTCTTCACGACATTACTTCTGTTTATACAAATATAATACAACACAGCTCTGTTGACTCAATAACTTACAATTTTTCAAACACCTACAAAGGAAAAGTTAGACGATAGGAACAAATTGGAAACTGAATTTAGCTGTGAGAAGGTTGGCTGAGTTCTTCAAAACAGTCTAAAGAAATGGAAGCCATTTACTAGTAAGAGTTAATACATAAATGATCTTTAAGATACGTCAAATCTCAGCCCACGTGATGGTCCATGGGAAAAGGTGCTTGCTGCAATGCTCAAAGGCCCGAATTCATCCCCCAGGACCCACAGGATGGAAGGAGAGAACTCACTCCCCCAAGTGGTCCTCTGACCTCCAGATGTAGGACATGGCACACACACACACTAAAATGATTGTACTTTTAAAAATGTGAAGGTATTTGGGGGGAAGGGGGCTAGGAGTGGTGTTCCATAAATCTAATCACGGCCCTTGAAAGGCAGAAGCAAGCGGTTTCTGTGAGTTCAAGATCAGCCAGGTGTGCAGGGCTTTCCAGGCCAGGGATGCATAAGTGAGACCTTGCCTCAAAAATAATAAGTAACTAATTAACTAATTAATTAATTAATTAGTTTTGGTTTTTTTTTTTTTGTTTCTGGTTTTGTTGTTGTTGTTGTTTTGGTTTTTGAGACAGGGTTTCCCTGTGTAGCCCTGGTTGTCCCGGAACTCAGTCTGTAGACCAGGCTAGCCTCCAACTCAGAGATCCTTCTGCCTCTGCCTCCCAAGTGTTTGAGGTATGCACTACCACTGCCTGGTCACACCTCAGTTGAATAGTTTTGTTTTTGAACTGTAAGTCTACTGCTAGACTGTAGTTCACTGGTAAGGCCACAGGTTTGAACCCCAACACCACAACTATAAAACAAACGAAACATTAGTCTGAATTTCCCAGAGTGTCAGAAGTATGGTTTATGTCTAATTGTTCGTTTGTTTGTTTGTTTGTTTGTTTGGGGTTTTTTGTTTTTTGTTTTTTTTTTTTGTCTGTTTTATTTTTGAGACAGGGTTTCTCTTTGTAGCCTTGGCTGTCCTGGACTGGTTATCGCACTAGTAGGTTGTGGCTCCAGGAGAGCCTGCACAGACTACCCGACCCCAGCTTTTCTGTTCTCTTTCAATTTCTTAACACCCCTAGTCATGTTAAGAGCCACGCTGATCAGGGCCACCTGATTCTCAGTACCAAAAACCAAAACCAAAAGGATTTAGTTATTTCAGGTTAGGCCCTTTCTCTTTACAAGTCTATCTTTTCTTGACAGTAGACACGTTTGTAGAAGAACATTTCAAACTATCTCTTTGCTCCTACTCTGTTTTGCTCTCTGAACTATCCACTGTGAGTAGCTTAGGGCATATCTTTACTGTTCATTCTCTCTAATATCTATGCATATTACATATATGTGTATATATGCACACACACACACACATACATATATATATGTATATGTGTGTGTAAATTTTTTATTTTCCTTTTTTCTTTCATTTTTAAATAACTTGAAACTTCTATGAAGGGTGTAAATATAGTACAAAAAAAATTTCCTTCAAAAATCGTTAAAGAGTAAAGTGTTGGGGCTAGAGAGATGACTCAGAGGGTGGGAGTTTGCTGCATAGGCATAAGGATCGGAGCTGGAATCCCCAGCACCCAAGCGAAAAGCTGAGTATGGCCATGCTAACCTGTCACCCTAGTCTGCAAGGGTAGAGACAGGAGGATCACTGCGCTTGCTGATTGTCAGCCTAGTTCCAGGCCAGTGAACTGGTCTCCAGAGAATAAAACAGAAAGTAATAGAGCAAGACACCTGAGGGTCTCTGGCCTCCTCACATCCAAGCACACATGTACACACACACACACACACACACACACACACACACACACACACACACA